CCCTCTCATGTCTTTAGATTTTCACAGTCAAATTACATCTGCTTCCTATGTGGCTGCAACAGGGAAAAGGTTGATTTAATTTGGACCTCAGATTTAAAAATATTAAGCATCAGTTTGTTTCTTCAGATATTTATCTAATTTTTCAGCAAACTGGAGATTGGTTTGTGCAGTGTCACAAATTATATAGTTTTTAGAAATATGTTTGGACTCAGAAAGTAACTCAAACATGACAATAGTAATTTAAATTTAAAGAAAGACACATTTGACAATGTAGGGCTTGTCTACCTGGGGATTCTGAGGAAAATGAATCCAAATTAATAATTTAATTAATCCATTTTAAATTCACACATTTTTCTACTCTGGAATAATTTTTCGAGTATCTCCATGTACAAAATCCTTTTGTGCTGATAGCTTATGTAGATTTTTTTTAGTGACTTATGTCTTTATGGATACGTCTACATTACAATAAAAAAACCCTGCAGCACCAAGTCTCTGAGCTCAGGTCAAATAACTTGGGATTGCTGGGCTCTGACGGCATGGCTAAAAATTGCAGTGTGGACATTCAGGCTCAGGTTGAAGCCTGGGGTCTGGGACTCACCCCCTTCGTGGAGTTTCAGAGCCTGGGCTCCAGCCTGATCCCACATGTCTACTCTTAAATCTACAGCCCCACAACCCAACCTCAGCCATTGCCATGCTGTGAGGCTTTTATTGCAGTGTAGACATACCCTAAGGCACAGCCCATGGTAACAGAAATCCTAGAGACACTGATGAGTGCAAAGGGGTGGGAAAAGTGCTGGATATTCCTAGCAGAGAATTCCCGCTCTGTAGGGAAGTAAATCCTCTAGCTTTGAGCTTGTGTGGCTGGCTTGCATGCTACCCCAGCTCCTGCAGCGTATGGCATAGGGGCATGAACTGGCATGTCTTGAGCATTACAGATGGCCCTTTGGAGTGATAGCTAGGAAAAGCCCCAGAGCTGGCATAGAACTGGTCTCAGAATTAGGGAGTTGCAACCATTTCCTTTGTTCTCCCCACTGCCACATCACCAATGTTTGTCCAGCTGGAACTGGGTGCAGCTAAGCGTATGGTTATGCCACAGTCACTGGGTGTGAATACAGCTCAAGGGGACATGCCTGAGCTTGCTTTAATCTCACTAGCTCAGTTCCTGGAGTGGAGCGGTGAAGCTGCAGCACCACCAGCTAGCCCTGGGATTAATTATCCTGGGTTCTGGGCTGGTTCATGCAGCCTGGATTGAAGCTCGTGCTGCTGCAGGACTAGAGCTAGCGAGATTGAAGAGCTCACAGGCAATGACTGCAGTCTGGACATTCCCTGCATCTCTGGCCTATTGTACCTCAGGGAGACTCAATGCCCCCAGCAGCCCTGGAGAAGGGTGGGTGCTGTGCCATGCTTGAGCAGCAGTGGTGCTGGAATCACATGGCCAAGCCCTTCCTGAGCAATAGGACTATGGTAGTGAATGGCCCTTTCACCACAACAAAGGTTCTCTCATGATCTCATCACACACATACTCACCCCCATGCTGGCGGGACACAGTGGCACCTTCTCATACTGTTCAGCTTTCCCTGCATCATACAGTGACACCAGAGAAGGAAGGGAAGGAACACCAGAGGGAATAATGTAAAATCAGGTGTCTTGTATTTCTGAGCATCTGTGTCTATTTTGATTGCTGCTCTCATTTCAGATCCGCCCCTGTGACGCTTCCCACCTCAGCTACCAGAGGCATGGAGCTACGGGAACAGCTCTCCAGCTGCTTGTTCTGTGCCATACTCCTAGCAACAATTCCCTTTTCAGGTAAAAGCATTGTCCATAAAACGCATCTCTGCAGTACAGAATCCCTCGGGGGAGATGCTGAAATCTACACAAAAACTCCTGCTGGAGTTTTGTGCAGATTTCAGCATCACCCCCCAGGGATTCTGTGCTTCAGAGATGTGTTTTATGGACAATGTCAAGGTTCCTTCCCCACTCTGAACTTTAGGGTACAGATGTGGGGGACCTGCATGAGAAGCTCTAAGCTCAATTAACAGCTTAGATCTGGTCCGCTGCCACCACTCCCAAGCACTAATTCCCTTCCCTGGGTAGCCTTGAGAGACTCTTCACCAATTCCCTGGTGAACGCAGATCCAACCCCTTGTTTCTTAAAACAAGGAGAAAGTAACCACCCCCCCCCTTTCTCCCACGAACTCCTGGTGGATCCAGATCCAACCCCCTTGGATCTAAAAACAAGGAGAAAGTAACCACCCCCCCCCTTTCTCCCACGAACTCCTGGTGGATCCAGATCCAACCCCCTTGGATCTAAAAACAAGGAAAAAGTAACCACCCCCCCCCTTTCTCCCACGAACTCC